CAATATAAATGATTTTTTGGTAATTCCTATTGAATTCTTTAAGACCATTTAATATGATGAATTATTTTTCTCTTCTTTTCTTTTTTTGGATAAGTAAAGATGTATTAGAAAGTGTTCAAAAGGGGAACGCATCCCAGAAGTTACACAAAGGCCAAAAGCCAAAAGTGACCCTAAAAGGACCCAAAAAATCAACAAATTCCTATATAGATGTACAATATCTCCCCATAACCCAACAATAAAAGAGAGCTAACAATAAGAGATTATAAAGCCCCAATAGAAGACTCCCCTCCATCAAAGGATCTTCTATTCCACTCCTTAAACACCGCCAAATGCAAAGGGGCACCACCCTCCAAAAATCACAAACATGGGATCCCACAAGGCACCCTCTCCAAGTATCAATTAAGGCTCTCAAAGACTGAGGCATAACCCATTGAACTCCAAACAAGACAAGGAGAAGACCCCAACAATCGATAGCCACAGGACAATCAAAAGGAGATGGTCGACTGACTCTCATCCTTCTTACACACTCCTTCTCAGGTTATCAAGCATCACAATCTTGCCCCATACTGTAGTCCAAACGAAAAAGGCTACCTTAAGAGGAGCCTTGGTGTGCCAAACCGCCTTCCACGGGAAACAGATCCAAGAATGTCTCAAAAGCATCTACACAAAGAATGCACATCAAATCTCCCCCGAGGAGAGGGCACCCAAATGAGAGCAATCGGGCCTTAGCCAACCGCCATTAAAGACCTGACGATACAAAAGCTCCAAAAAGCCAACGACGTCATCCACTTCCCAGTCTTGAAAATGTCTCGAGAATCGCACATCCCAAGTTAACCTCCTATTATCAAGCCAATAACAGTTGGCAACCAGGCAAGTCTATTAACAACAATCCTGAATAGCCTAGGAAAGAACAAGCTAAAGGGCGATCACCACAAGCAAGTCCTCCCAAGAACGAGTGCCCATGCCATCCCTAACTCTGAATTTGATATGTTAGAAAATTCATCCCAAACCTTCCGAATGAATTTCCAAACACCAATATCTCCTGGGGTCCTAACGCAAGAGAACAGCATCGGCCTCTCTCCTCCCCAAAACGGGTCAGAATAACCATCCTCCAAAGTCTGTAGCACTCACCACCAAACCTCCACTATCATTTCCCAAGGAGAGCCCTCTTAAAGGGCATCAGTCTCCTAATCCCCAACCTCCCCAACTAAATAGGCATGCACACCTGCTCCCATCGAACAAGATGATATTTGAATTCGTCCCCTAAACCGCCCCATAAAAAGATTGGTTGAAGCTTCTCAATCCTTTCAGCTACCGAGGAAGGAATCTGAAAGAGAGAGGAAATATGTAGGAAGACTAGACAATGTACTTTTTATAAGGGTGACCTTCCCACTCTTCGAAAGGTACTGCTTCTTCCTCCTGGTAAGTTTCCTCTCAAAACGCTATATGATAGGGTCCCAACCCCCACCCTTCTCGATGGAGCACCCAAAGGCAATCCTAAATAAGAAATAGTGAAAGATCTGACCCCAAAACCAAGAGTAACAGCAAGAGAGGCAATATCCTAAACCTCCCCCACATGAACCAAAGCACTCTTCCGATTATTCACTTTCAGGCCAGAGACTGCCTGAAAGCAATTTAGAACACACCTCAAGTATCTCAACTAGGATACATCGGCATCGTAAAAAACATAGTACCATCCGCAAACAGCAAATGGGAAATCTCCAACGGATGAACCGCTCTGCCCACCCTAAATCCCTTAATAAATCCCAGCTCCACAGCCCTCCCCATCAATCTACTGAGAGCCTTATGACAATAATGAACAAGAAGGGAGAGAGGGGATCACCCTGCCTCAAGCATCACGAACTGCTTTAAAAAGCCCGTCCAAGACCCATTCACCAGAATCGAGAACCTCGCAGAAGAAATGTAGGCCTCAATCCATTTCCTCCATCTTTCTCGAACCCCATCCCTCTCCAACAAATAAAGCAAAAAGATCCAACTAATATGATCATAAGCTTTCTCGATGTCAAGCTTACAGAGAACACCCAGGACACCATTGCTCATCCTAGACACACTCACTGGGTGTAAGAGCTGAATCAAGGATCTAATGACCACCAATGAAAGCATTCTGGGATTTTGAAATGGCTCAGTACAAAAGATCCAAGTCTCAGAGCTAGGACCTTAGCTATTAGTTTGTAGATGCTACCCACCAAACTAATAGGTCTAAAACCCCTAATGTCAGAAGCTCCACCCTTCTTAGGGATGAGAGTAATAAATGACGCATTCAAAGATTTCTCGAAGCACCAATGGGAATGAAACATGCCCATCACCTTACCCCTCACCACAGCCCAACTCTCCAACAGGAATCTCATAGTAAAACAATTCGGACCCGAAGCTTTATCCCCATTGCAACCTTCAGCACTTCGTCCTCAGAAAAAGGGCTCTACAAACCATCCCTCTCCATCTCAGAAATTGAATCAAAATGAAGCCCCCCCAAGCTGAGGTTCTTATTAAAAAGGCATGGTAATAATATTTTTTACTAAATTAATGAATAATAATGTATTTATGCATTCAATAAATTAAAATTCATACTATATATAATATGTGAGAAGAAGAAAATTAAATTAATATATATATATATATATATATATATATATATATATATATATATATATATAATACGATTCAAAAGTATTATTCTTAAAGAAAGGATAAATAAAGATATTAAAGTAGACTGAAAAACAAAAAATGATTGTATTTATAAAAGAAAGGTTTATGGTTTTTGCAGTTTTAAGCAAATACCTAGAACAAATATAACTATTGTAGTATTTATATACGAAAGTGAATGTGGGTCAGGCGGATAGAGAGCATCATACTGAAATTTAGTGTCAGGGTTCAACTCCCCTTGACTAGCTCTTTTTTAATAAAACACATGTGGCTAGTTTGGGATGGTAAAAATCGACCCATTTTATAGAGAATCGGCCCGTTTCGTCTGATTCTGTAAAAAAATGGGCGGTTTGCTACCAAACCGGTCGGTTTTGATGTAAATTTCAGAACATTCCAGTATATTGGCTAAAACAAGTATTGGGTGCCCTATAATCAGTTCCGAACTGCCGGTTTGGCGAACCATGAAATTTACATATACGTATATATTGTATTTATGTAGGATATGATAATCATATTTGTTAGTCATATAATATATATTAGGACTAATAGTCTCTTAAAACTTATGGAAACAAGTCGAGAGTTATGTTGCATGCATAAACTTAGAACTAAATTAGACATCATACATTCTCACTATATCTTAATTCCTTTTTATCTAAGAATGTTAAGTTTTTTTCTTTTTTTAAACAATTCATTAAAAGCGCTCAAGAGGGAGCGATCCCAAAAGGATACACAAGACACCAAAGGCGACAACTAAAGCTTCAAGCTATCAACGAAGTCCAAAAGATGCCCCAAAGATTTACAGTTATGCTCATTCACCCAAAAAAATAAAGTATACACTATACAGTATACTATATTTGAGTGTCCAAATTGGAGTCTCCACCCCTTCAAAGGATCTCCTATTTCTCTCACACCACAAACCCCACCATAAGCAAGGGGAATGGCCCTCCAAACATCCCTGGCTCGGCTCTCCACAAGACAACCTCTCCAGGCCTCAATCATATCCACTGTGGATCTTGGGAACACCCAAGACACACCAAACACAACCAAGAACATAGCCCAAACATCCCTCGCCACTGGGCAGTGAAGAAGGAGGTGATTCACTGTTTCCTCTACCCTTGCACATACAACACCAGTTCTCTTCCTTAGATTGTCAAGGGTAAGAATGCTACTGTGAGCTGGACACCATACAAAGAAGGCCACCTTCAAGGGAGCTTTGGACTTCCAAATCGCCTTCCACATGAAGGAATGACCTGGGATCTCCGCAAGACTGTAATAAAAAGATCTAACCTCAAACACCCCTCTAGGTGTGCCCACCCAAACCATTTCATCCAACCCCACCCCCTCCACCACCTGTCTGTACAATAAAGCTAAGAACTCAGCTACCTCCGTAAGCTCCCAATCATGAAGAAACTGCACATCCCAACTCAACCTCCCGCTATCAAGACGTGTCCCAGAGAATACGAGAAGTAATCAGATATATGCTTGAAATATTTTTTTTTTTTTGAAAAAAAAAAGGTCTCAAATAAGATATATTTAGAATTATCGGATATGTATCCATGAGTGAGTGTGCAAGGAGTTCAGTATCATACACATATATGAATCTCTTATACAAGTTCAATGCTTCTTAGGTATTTACTTCTAAATTTAAATAGTTTACATGCTTATCAATAATATCAGATGTCATATAAACATATACTTGAATACCTAATAATTCTTCTGTGCAAACTTTTGTACATAAGAACAGACTGCTAACGAACCCCTCTACGGCTTTTTATGAGGTGCTGTTTCATAAGCGTTTCAGAGTTTTGAACCAACTATTTATTCCAAAATCCTCACTTTAACAAGTTTATTTCAAGTGTCGGTTTGAGCTCTTTGTTGATTCCTTTCAATTAATTAGCTGCTTTTCTTGATTCAGTTGCATTTGTAGCTTGGATGTGATTTGAGCTTCTGGTTTAAATGCAAGATGATCGATTAGTTGCTTGTTAAAGCAATAAGGCACTGTCTGCTTACACTTTAGAATTCCAATATGTAGAGTCCAAAGCTTTCAACAGAGAATCAACTGCAAATTAAAAAAACAAACATACTTTCCATGCTGCCACTTATTCCAACCAATAAGTGAATCACCAGCACAATTTTCTGATGCCAAGTTGTTTTATTTTATTGATGTCTATGTTAAAACTAACAAAATGAAGTAACATTATATGGATTATATAACACCGGACTATTTAAAGAGTAACTTTTCATGCAGAAAAAGTTAAACCGTACAAAACATATATAAATGAAAAAGTAGACATGAAGAAGAACAACAACAACAACAACAAAGTGGAAAACTTTACCTTACGTATATTATTGGGAGGTCTTAGAAACACCTTTTTTTGATCAACTGGTGCTACCGAGGAATGTAAAGGAAGAAGCCACTCAGAAGATAATCCACCAAATCGGTAAGAAGCAGCTAGTTTATCATGTAACATGTAAATTTCCGAAACTCCCTGTTTTATAATGGCAACAATCACTTCAGTTATTAAGTAATGAAAAATAATCTCTCTTCCCGATAGAATCATAACTATAAAGATGATCCATATGAAAGTGTTAGAACTTACGGGTAAGAAAACCAGTATGGCACCCTCAGGATAAGTTTCATCAATGTAACATACCAAGTCTTCAAGAAGATCATAGTCAATAATATCTTCATCCAACCTTCTCTGTGCAAGAGGCAATAAAAAGATATACATTGTCCTCAAAGATAAATTGATGGCTATGACATGAACACTAAGAAAATCCATCTTGAAGATATTTACCAAATTCCGTTGCGTTTGCTCACTGTATGATTGATAATTGCTCGGAACATAGTAAGGATTTATACAATCTTCGGACAGCAAAGCTTCGTCACCCCAAGAAGATAAGACAAGATTTTTCTTCCCCCTGTGGTTGGTAATAGGACCATTCTGAAGCCATCAAAATTCAGAAGTTCACAGTTCAGGGGACGGAAATCAAAACTCCCATATACTCTAAGAGTACCAATGCTGAATGACTACAACAAGGCCCCCAGGGGTGGTTGGGGGGGGGGGGGGAAGATTTCCACAAGAAGAAAAATACTTCTAAACTAAGTTTCTATCCAAAAAGATCAGACATAGTACGAAATATAAATATGCCTTGATACCTATAGCCATGTAGGACATTCCTTGGTTGTCACATCTATTGACTTACTTTTGTGGACTCCTGGCCAAAGAATGGCCAGCATATCTCAAATTACAAAGGACAAGTCAGCACAAAGAAAATATAGTTGTGTAAAAGAATATACACAAACACACGCTCTATATATATCTGTAAACGAATATAACACCAAGGAGTTGGCTCAAGTGGATAAGAACTTGGCCCTGGTGCCTCAAGAAGCATCAGGTCTAATGTTTAGCTCCTCTTGGGTGCAAACAATTCCTTGAGAAGGGAGGGGGGATATATATATAGTTGTGTAAAAGAATATGATAAGGGCTCATGCTTCACATGTCATCAATAATTGTTAAACCCACTTTATTTGGGCACTAATGGAACAGAAGTGGGGCCTACAAATAAACAATGATGGGTCCCCTCAAGCACTTAAGATCCTAACCAATATTTTTTCATCAATCTAGGGGCCACAAACAGTTGATTGGCCAGATAATTGTAGTGATGGATGTCAAAGTTATTAACATTTGAACTATGTGCAAAATGTTCATAAAGGAAAAATTTGATGAGAGAATGAAATCAATAATATTTGCTACAATTTGAGGGAAAAGGTAAGGTAAAGAATGCCAAACTTGACATCCTAAGGGACCATTGCTCGGTACTCTCTAGCATGAGAGCACAAGTTCAAGACTGAGGATAGACGGTTAGATCTAAACCCAGTCTGTCTGTCCCTCCAAGAAGACTTGATCAACGGAAAGCAACATTGTGCCATGGCCTAGAATCCATATAATAGCATACCTTCTCCTTTTTGGACGTCCCATATCTTATAGTGGCTAGAGAATCTGAAGCAAGGCGGTAGTTAGTACTTTCATATATATCCTCAAGAAAGTATGTTGACACAGGATGTGTTCGGCCTTGTGCTGTAATTACTGGGCAGTGACCAAAGTATCTTGAAAAAAGATCCGAATCAACTGTTGCCGACCTGAAAATTACATAAATCGATACATTCAAAAATCAAAAGAGAAAGACAAACTTAGTGTGATAAGCATAATTCGATAACTGCAATAAAATTCAAAGCATAAATAAAGACTTAACATACATAAGAATAACTTTCAATTTTTGTGATCCATCAGCAGACTGCTTCTCAATCAAATTCTTCAAAACAACGAGTAAAAAATCACCCTGTCACCCAAAAAAGAAAAAAGATGATCAAAATTCAATCTCCAACTCTTTCCGTTAGACATTCCATATATGCGGCCAATAAATATTTAGGAAGACATTATGCCTTGATTAGAATGCCTAGCATAAAAAATACTTTTCCTTAAAAAGAACTGTGAACCTAGTAATGAATGAACTAGTATTTGGGAACAATGACTGCTTTATTCAATTTGGCAAGTACCATTAATGATGTAATAAATGTATTTGTCATAAAAAAGAATTGTGAACCTAGTAATGAGTGAACTAACATTTCAGAACAATGACAACTTTATTCAATTTGGCAAGAACCATTAATGATGTAATACAACTGATGTGATTATAACACAATAAGAAAATCAATCATGTTATACCATCATAGGATAAAGGAATCTAAAGAGCACATTTCCTACTGTTGAAAAAACAATCAGATCACCAATCATCATGTGATATAGAAGCAGCTCAACACAGGCACTAGAAATAAGCATCATACCGGACAGGTCATGTAAATCTAATGTGGATAGAAATAAATATGCAAGGTATTCATAGACAACCACTAGTAGAAGCTGATGGTAGACAGTCGGAAGTCAGAACAAGTCATACTGGTCAGAAATTGTCATCACAATACGCATAATCATCTTATTTTAACAATACTTCCTTAAAATTAAGAAATCAATTCAACTTCAGGAATAAGCATACTAATTTAGATTGAAGAGTCACTTACAGATGGCCAGAATTCTACTTATTCAATTTATCATTTTCTAAATAGAGAGGGGACTGAAAACTGTTCAAAACCAATGCAAAAAAAAAAAAAAAAGGCAGGATCAAAGAAGACTAAGTAAAGAAGAGAACTAAAATTTGTGTTTCAGAAGTAGAATTAGATATGACTCTGCATGGTCAAAACCCAAATATGTAGGTCCCTCGCTACTGATATAACACATCATAATATGAAATTAAAGGACAAATCTTCCATTAGTACACATAAATATACTAACAACCCTTTCTCTAAAGATGCTGCAGATAAAGTTGGCAGTTGCTACGTGTTTGGTGTGATTTCCGGCATTAGAGCCAGAGGACTACTTATGGAGTAAAAAGTATATGCTGCACTGCTGGAGCCGTAACATTGCATTAAATAGTCACCGATGAATGGTTAATTGCGATATATTTTCTTAAAAGTGTAAATACATCAATCTGGGTCACATAACTATATTTTAGTCTGCACCTATGTGGATACTCAAAATAGACCCAATTCTTTGAAAGAATTATTTTTCTAACATAAGACACCAAGTTTTACAAGGCAAGTAGGAAAATAAAAAATAAAAAAAATCTTGCTAAATGGCTGGATTTTTCGCACACATTTGTGTCAAAGTACTGTTCACACAGGTCCCACCTTAAGTCAACCATGCAACCGGACCCATTTTCACTGGAACATTCAAAGTCAAAGATGTAAGATTGACATTCTAGGGCGTGGTCTGAGTCTAGGTAGCAAGCTGAGAGCATGCAGCCAATTTTCAGCTTAGTAAACCTCGCTTTCTCCTTCCTCACACCAGAATCCAAGACTGGTTTGTACTCTTGCAAACACGAACCCAGGCCATATGGTTGTACTTGATTTTGAAACTAATTTGCATGAATATACCATATAACACTTGAAACAATCCATCTTTTTCTTTCATAAGTGAATGAAAACATTTCCCAGATGAATTAGTTAAGCCATTTCACCAAAAAAACTGGAAAAAAATGTAAGAAATATAGAATTATCAGCCTTTTTTAAGCCAAGTTTTCAAGACAATATTGAGTGCTTTCGATATGTCCTTGAGAAGGCCAAAAGAGGGATCCAAGGTTTTCCAATGTACTGGTTGTAAATTCCATGTCACGCAATATTGTCAGTTTTAAGAAAATTGACATGAAATTTCTCCATCAAAAGCCTTAATACAGAAACTTAGTGGTTGATTTTGAAGCTAATTGTGAACAGTTCCACAGAATTGGTCAACGGATTTTGTACTCCTGGCAAGAGTAACAGTCCTACAACATCAAGTGTCATACAAAATTCATGGCATGAGTAATGTTTTCTATTTATGTTATCAAAATATATATATATATATATATATATATATATATATATATATATATATATATAATTATTGATAACAATCTATTTCTGTTTTATTTTAATTTTTTTTTAGGAAAAAAAATTAAAAAACTATTTTCCACATAACATGTGAAATTATATAAGGTCACACTACCTTTTACTGTCATGTCTGAAAATGCTGATATATCATATTATACCAACTTAAGTACAACTAACTCACCAAGAGAGAACGTTCATGCACTTCATCAACAATGACATGAGTAACATCAGTCAAATTTTTATCCCCCTGCAAATTGAGAAATAAGAAAGGTATAGCAATACATACAAGATTGCAAAATTAAAATACTTTAGAGAGAGATTAAACTGAATGCCAATTTCTGCAAGAAAAATAAGGACTTACACAAATCAGTCAAGGGCAACTACTGATTCTAAGCTTCTGTCAAACAGAGGACGTGTAAAAGTAATGGTGGGAGAATAAGCAAATGTGCTTTCCTCTCAAAATAATTTTCAATGTAATGTTTCAATTTCTGTAATCGCAAGAAATTACATAGCTTGAGACAGTTAACGAAAAAGACTAGCTAACCCTAAAAGAGAAAGCACTTCTACAGGAAGGTATATTGCACAATGTACCCAGTGATGCTTCACACTTTTCACAAAAAATCAATTAGATCGAAAAAAATAAATACACGGGTTTCGAAAATGATAACTAGCTGTAGAAACGGCAACAGTCACTGTATAATGGATGAGGGGTGTGAGAATTTTAACATAATGGACGGAGCTATAGGATCCATGATTTTTTTTCTATTGCCCAACTCTCCTTAAAATGCACTGATATGAAACTTAAACCAAAATCCCGTAAATTTAGGATATCAATTATTTTAATGAATTTTTATTAGTATAAAAATGATTTAATGCGATTAATGAATATTACATTGAATTTTAAGTTTTTGTCAGTAATCAAAGTTTTCTAACTTTTTTTTTTTCGGAAATTCTAGCTTGCTAACTTTTATCTCCACAGCTATTATAAAACACACATATACTTAGACATGAAAATATATATCGTCATTCAATAATATATGCTCAAACAATTTGATAACATGTTTTGAATCAATCATGAACATCACTTATTCTAAGTAAATCATTTAAATTGAATCATAAATCCAATATAGATAATTTTGTGAAAAGGAATAAGAGAGTCCAGGTAAAACAACTTACTAATTATATGTATATTAAGGTGTGCTTTCAGTGGGTTTAGAAGCTGACAGCTATAATAGCTAACGGCTGGAAGCTATACTTGTTATGTTATTTGTAAGAAGAAATAGAAAAAAGGTGAATTGAGGTTCATAACCTCACTCGTCAAAATTATTGTTACATTGGCATGCAGTGACAATTAACGGCCCAAAATGGCCAATAGAATGGCTGGTACGTTTATAATTTATGGCAAGACCCATTTTATTAAACCATAATAGCATCACTAAGGAACAATATCATTACATAACAGCGCTGCCGCAATCTAATAGTAATGGTCATTTTTTTTTTTTTTTTTGATAAGTAATAGTAATGGTCAATATTTAAAACCATGACGCGTTTTTAATAAACTAAGCTAACAATTGTTTCATTCCCATTTAATCTTCTTCAATGGACAAATATTCAATTCTATTGTCCATAAAAACTTCATTTATAATCAAAATGCATGATAAATATTAAAAACTTATTTCAAACATTACAGTAAAAAGATTATATACTAATTTAGTAACACGTAACACAACAAAGTGCATTCTCAAGCACCCCTATCTTCATAAAGGTTGTGGAACACAAGCATCGGATACCAACTACACAATACACACACAACAGACCCAGTAATCTTTTAACATTTTTCTTCCATTGCAGGAAGTGCCAATAAAACCAACCATCTTGTAAAATAAACCAAAATAATATAGCAGAGTAAGCATACTATACATGCAAAAGCAAAACAAGTAGTACCTGAAATGAAAATTTGAATTACGTTTAGGAAATTGACACAATGACAAACATGCAGAGGGAGTACTCCATCTAAGAGACATGTTTAGTTAATTAAATGCCGCCATGTCTTCGCTCCCCAACCATTGCATTTATAGCATTGCCCTTGTCTTTTAGCTCTTTCTACTTCAATCACATTATTTTTTCTTTCAGATGCTTTAGTTAGTTTTTGATGTACAGATCAAACCATTTTGAATGACTTTCTAGTCCTCGATTAACAAAATAATCCTTTGCTTTAATTTCTTATTCTGGTCAGAATACTCTAGTTCATTAATTCATTAAATATATTAAAAAATTGGGAATATTTAGAATAAAGTTAGTAGAGAGAGTTTGTTACCCAAGAATAAAAAAATTTCTTGATGTCAGGTAATATTTTCAGAAACCAATTTTGTAAAGGCAACCATTTTGCAGTCTTTTCCATTGAGTGGAAAAACAGAATCCATGTGGCCAACCCATTTGTAAGGGATAAAGTCAAAGATGATGATGATAAACTTAAGTCCAATAGAGGTTTAAACTAAAGGTAGCAACAGTAGGTGGCAACAAAAGAAAAAGAAAAAAAAAAAAAGAATCAAGAATAGTGCACCATGATGATTTGATCATGAGTAACAGCCACCAACAAAACACATTAATAAGTGATATCAGTAATGCTGGAATCTTAAGAATTACATTAAGGTTGCGAGAGAAGACCTGATGACTTTAAATAAAACAAAAAAAAAATATTATGGCTGTGATATAAAGATTAGGATCTCCATAGCCGACCTAATAATATTTTGCTAGGAAGAGCTTATTAGTAGTTCAAGCAGTTATATAATGGAATAGAATGGCTGTGTTAGACAATGAACATGGACGATAAAAATTGCAATCTAAATTCAGGACAAAGTGGTGAAAGCTATACTAATATCTGTTTGGAACTAAGCACCAGCATGTGTATTATCTAGATAAAATTATGTGAAACAAAAAAAATCAATTACAAGAGCAGGCGTACCGCAAATTTCCTCAGAAGAATGCCAGTTGTGCAGAATAAAAGCTTTGTCTTTTCATTACTAAAAATCGTATATATTTGGACAAAGAAAATGCAAGTGTTAGGAGTGCAATAGTTGCAAACATCAGAGATAAGATTAGAACAAATAAAAGAATAATGGATACTTCTGGAAAATTAATAATCCATTACATATTTCCAACTGAAAATGGAATATGTTAATAATTAAGTAATAGACAATGATGGAACTAACATTGCACCTATAAACTTCATATTCTGACCTTAAATCATTATAAAAAAGGATTCACAGTTGGTATGATTAAAAAAATTTCAATAATGCTTAAAATATCTAAAACGCAATAGCTAAGGCTTGTGTTTGGTCTAATAGAAATTAGAGAAATGCGAAGGAAACAAAATAAAAAATAATAATTAAATTAAAAATTACCATTTTAGGGTTAGGATAGTAGGAACAGATATTTTTCAGGGAAAGTATTCTGAGGCAAAATACAGGAAAATTTTACAAAGTTATGTACAACGTTTGATGTTACAATTACGCTAGAAATTAGAGAAATGAAGGAACAAAAAATAAAATAACATTTTAGGGTTGGGATAGTAATCAGGGATATTTTTTAGGGAAAGTATTCAAAGGCAAAATACAGGAAAATTTTACAAAGTTATGTGAATTGTTCAACACTCTTAAGGCCCTCCGTCAAGTTTTAAAAATTCACAAGATCCTGAAGACTTGCACAAACATTTGCTGGCATGCCTGGTCTTATGAGGTATAAGGTACATATGGTCAGATAGGATTGCTGGCATGGTTCAGGAACCAGATCTCCAGTTCGCAAGCCCGTCAAATGATACTGAGTTCAAAACCACTAAACCACCTGCATTCTGCATTTTCGGACATCAGTCTCTTAAGATTCTTCACAATAAAATACATATTTCTTCAAAATCTTGGACCTACAATGGAATAGAGAGGATTCAATTTGCTTTGTCCAATTTTTAATCCACCCATTATCCATGAAGAATTTCTCCAAATGCAAAAACGTTAAGAAAGAAGCTCGCTCACTTTCAGTAGAACCAGACCAGACCACCAGGAAAAAAGTTATTCTGTACACCACCGTCATTTATGTTTTCTCTCTCTATAATTAACAAATCCTGACACATGATCATCGAAAAATCTTTGAAATAGAGGCCCCAAATCAACAAAGATAAATCCACTAAATTTCCAAGAAAATTATTAGATTTCAATTGTGTATATATTCGAGTCAACCCCCATCAAGAATAACAGCCCTCTTTCAATTCTACCCACTCAGCTTTTGGATACTCAGACATGTCTCAATTTCCACTCAGGCATCTTCATTTCTGCAAATGCGAACATCTCCATTCCCTAATTAGAGACACAGTGAGGACACATCTTATAAGGTTAATTTCCATCTTCAACGTGTTCATTTACAATTACATGTCCAAAACGGTAAAGAGATTATTAAGGTCTAATATAATCATCAATAATCTGTTACACAGCAAGAAAGAAAACCAATTACAGCTCCTACCACCACAACAGACCAATCCAACATCTAGGTATTTTTAGTTGGTTTTTAAAATTATAGTGATGTCTACATAGCAGTTTCAAGTATTCAACTTATAATGCATTCGCTCTACAAAGTCTTCCACGTACACAGGAAATCTAAAATTTGACAATACTAAACAAATCTGCAATGTCCCAACCACAAATTCAAGTGCAAAGACTTCGATGGTATCTTCACCTTTCAACAGCAAATGGCACTCATTTCCACTTTATGTACTGGCATCCAACTTCTGGTATCATAGTTACACCAAGCCCCCAACTCACGTCCTTACTAACACTGCCACTGCCACAAAGCTTATATAAAAAAATTAGGAGCATCTCCATTGACAGCATTTATCTGACCATAATGGTCAATCCTATGTTTTAACAGTGGTGATCATGTGCTTTACAGAACTTCTTACTTTTGACTCTATGTTTTGCCAATGATCATGTGCTGTACAGTGCATCTTACTTTTCAAAATCTACAGCTCAACTATATGAATACTTTCTAAGTCACCAACGAACTATGTATGCTTGGCTCAATCAAACGTGGACATAATAATCATCATCATCCTTTCATTTATCTGATATGAAGAGGATCAACATACACAAACATTGTTACATGAAAATGAGGTCACAAAAGGAATAATTTCATTATTAAAGCTGACACACACACACATATATCAGAACAGGTGAGACAGGTAGTATGAAAATATATCGAAGTATATAAATAATAAGCGCAAATTATGTACCAGAGGCTCTTTTCCTTTTCTTTTTTTCTTTTTTATTTTTGTTTTTTTTTTGGTTTGGGGGGGGGATGAGTAATCTACTGCAGCATTGTAGGTGTGCTTTGTTAACCAAACATGCTTGATAGCAGTATAAGAAAGAAGAAGAGAACGATCACCGTGCACTATCAAGACGAACTTGATAACCAACCAAAGAACCATGTGATCCGGGTGAAGATTCACACCGTTCATCAGCAACTCTCTCAGCCACAGAAATAGCCTACAAAAAACACAACTTTACAATTCAGCAACCATGTTCAGAAAGAACAAAATCCAATGGCTACCACATGTTCCTGTGAATATCTTATAACAAAAGAAAAGAAGATAATAACTAATTTATATCATTTCAAATTTCCAAGATGTCTCCAAGGACAATCCAGTGTCATTCTGCAGAAACCTTACAGAAATTTTGCTTTAAAGGTAGCAAAAAAGTATATTCAGGAAAAGATTGACACACTTCGAACTATTTCATATGTAGATGTAACTAGTCGAATACATACAAAAAAAATGTTGGAAGTTATTCCGCTTTTTTTATTGGTAAGAAAAATGTTGGCACTATCAATATTCACCGTGTATTGGCTCGAAGCATTTAAGGCAACCCATGGCCTCTGTTCTTACATGTGACAACAGAAAAGGAGAGAAGATAATTATTAAATGTGTTGAACAAAATAATCATGCCAGTATTTTGGCATTGTGGACAATGAAATAGACTGTGGTATCATATTGATAAAGAATTGAAAGTGACTGATTTAGGATCATAGAATCAGTCTTGGCATTTGACAAGAATTCTACTGTTCTGGCCCAATTAAAATCAGCAATGTGTCATATTGAGGAGCACAGTCGCCAATAGTATACAGCATTTCCACTATAATATTCAGACTTCACAATCTCACAAGAGAAGAACTAATCTACAGGAAGGCAGATCAAATCGACAAATCCACAGATTTAGCCTTTATGCATTAAAGTAATGTCCACATTTGAGATTCAAGTCAATATGGAATAATATAGCCTCCTCCATTATAAAGAGTACACTTTAAACGTGGAATAGATAAATCCCTAAGAAATTTGAAAAATCAAATGAGGAAAACGAAAAAGGCCTTTTTTATTATATTCTTCAATTCCAGGATTACGTCCCGGATCAATAGATAGGAATCCAGACATGGTAAAAATATAATACGTTACTACTTTTTTGCCAAGACTTAAAAGGAAAATATCATGGATATAAATGGAAAATATCACGTTTTCGATGTTCCAAAATTCTAAGTGCTTACAAGGGCATTTCTGAACATTTATGGTTGTATGAGTGTGGATAACAGAAACCCGGAGACAGAGACTATCATAAAAGGTCATATAGACATGAACTAAAGTTGATAATGCTATACTGACCGCTATTCTCCTTGGTTGTGTACATACAATGCTACAGTGTCCACCACGACCAGCTTCAATCATGTCATCCAATATAAATTGTGGAACCTACATCAAATGCTAGTTAGAATGAAACATGCAAGTTCAGAGAATGGAAGAGAAAGTGAGGAAAGGTTGCACCTCCAACAAGTCATGGCAAAGCTTTTACAAGGTATAAGAATGAACTGAAATATAAGTAACAAAATTTATTAAATATTGCACCTGAGTTGTCTTTCCACAACCTGTTTCCCCACAAACAACAATAACGTTATTCTCCTTCAGTAGTTGCAATATATCAGCCTTCAATTCAGCAATGGGTAGTGTAGCTCTAGATCCTAACATGTCCTAAGAAAAAATATAAAATAAAAGACATACATTACATATTAAAAGAGCATAAGCAGGGTGTGGACATAGCAAGTGTTAGGTTTAATGAACTATTGTGATGTATATACAGAATACACTGAAGGGAAAAAAAAAAAGAAGAAGAAGAAGAAGTGAACTTGCCACATAAAACAAATATTTATGCGCAGATTGCAGAATGAGAACAAAAAACTATCAGGCTTCCAGTTTTTACACATCATCTCAATTGCAAGTTTGCACGCAGAGATTGTAATAATTCCTATGCCTTCCAATACCAACTAGTCAGTATACAAAAGCTTCACAGTGAATGTGGATAAGGGCAACACCCAGGCAATTCACTTTGGAAAAATATGAGTTTTAATTTTTTTAATAAGTCTTTGGGAAAATATGCATCACACGAGTACAGAAGTATCTAGGGGATGGAGACTACTGGGAGGACAAAATGATCAATGTGAGAAGGACATAAATTGAACAGCCAGTAATTCACCAAACACCCTACATTGGGCAACTTTCTGAAAGGAATGCTGAAAGAAGAAGAAACCAACCTTGTATCTTCTCATTTTCTTTTTATTCTCTTGTTCCCGTCTGAGATAAGAACTCTCTGCTTCTTTATAATAGTAAAGATCTGCAAATTAGCAATATAAAAAAGTTTTAAAAACAAAAACTCCCTAGAAGATTTCCAGGAACAGAACCTTTTTTGCCAATGGACACATATTTGTCCTTTAGGAACTGTTCTACTTGTTCATTATCTTTCTCCTTGAATATGGGATCCCACCTAACATCCTAACAACCTCAAAGATTCTCCCCATCAATCCCAGGCAAGTAACTAAGTGTCATCACTGTTATTTCAGCGTTACACAGTTATTGAAAATCACAACCAATTATACTTCGAGAGAAGGAACGTGGAGGACTCCATGAACATACTTTCAGCTTTTAGAACATCACCAGCAGTTGGATCAATATTTTCTTGAACAAGAGGCTTTTGAAACTTTTCTTGAAGAGAGCTATTCAAGGCATCAGCAGAAATTAATTCGGAGCTGTCATCATTTAATAGTGAATCCACGAACCCAGCTCTTCGATCTTCCTCGCTGTCCACTTTCTTGGTTGATAATTCCCCTGAAAGATATCCAGCAATAAACTAATTATTTAAGTATCCAACAAAATAATCTTAGGCTTACTGTGCTAACAGACATTACCACAAATGGATTTCTAATCTAAAGTAAATAAGAAATCACGATCTACAGAAACTTCTGTTTCTAGGTAAATATTACGTCATAGAATATAAGGTCACCTTCCTCCCACTGTAGAACAAGCGAAGCATACGGCTCTGTGATTAGAAGATGAACAGGTATATCAGGAAACAGGCGAAAGAGAGCAAAAGCGGCAACTCTATTCTGTGCATCCTGCAGCCAGGGAAAAACATAATGAAGTGGTATTCACAAACAGTAAATAAAATAATTATTGTTAGTGATAGGAATAAAACCCTTAACCCCTCCACCACCCCCCCCCCCCCCCCCCCCTCCCTCTCTTTTTTTTAAGCCACACCAGCACTTCTTCACATCGCTTTGGCTGTTCAGAAAAGAAAATCTAGCAAGATAAAAGCATAAACAAGCAAAGAGGCACGTCTTTGCTGAAAGAACTAAGAAAAAAACAGCCTCGAAAATGGGAATTGTTCATCATCATCTTTGCCTTTATCCCGCACCAAGGGGATCGGCCAAATGGATATTCTTTTCCCGTAAGCCATTTCTCCAGCTTATATATGCGCCGAGGAATATTGATTTGCATAGAAGGTAAAAGACAAAGAGGTCGACTAAAACTAAGATGGGATGAAGTGATAGTAAGTGATCAGGGTGATAAATCAAGTTGAATAGTCACATAACATGTTATATATGAACATAAAAATATATTTTAAATAATGTACAAAATTGCAGCAACTAAAGTCTGACAAAACCAGAAGTTGACTCAACATGATTCAGGTGAAACACATCTAATGTTTTCAACCAGAAAACAATCACATTAACACTGAACGTCAATAAAGGTTAGAAGCTAATTAACAACCAAAGTAAACAAAAGAAAACACATATTGGCATCCAAATAAGAAATTAATTTTACCCAAATAGATCAATGAAGAAGTAAACCATTATAGATGTCCAACTTAAACATTCTATCATGAATTGAAATGGAAAAAACTTGCAAAAATTACTTAAAGGGTTAACAGCATCCCCTCAGAAAGGTTTTCAGTTTTGTTATTTGGGGCATTTGTAGGTCAAGGAGTGTGGCACTTCATCAGAATTCACGCTCTCCAGCTTCTTCTTTGGCCAGAAAGGCAAAGCCTTTGCAGAAACACATAAACAGGGACATACACTGGGTAATACACTTTTCTAACAGCTTCCTGCTACATCTGACACGCTAAACTACTAAGCTCTACACAGCAATGTTTTTCAAAGACATAAGAACATGCAACAACATTTTACTCTCAAAGAAATCCATATTAATCAAGGCAAAAGGCTTTTGATAAAGTGGTTAATGTCATTATTAAAAATAATATAGGAAACCAAGCGAATAAACAGAACAGGCAAATTAAAATCAATCCATGAATAAAGTTAAAACAACTCAGTCACATGACGTGCACCACTCTTGAAATGAAGCATAAGGTATGAAGTGCACAATTTTGACCATGCTTTCGCTCGTGATAGATCCTCAGCTTACAAGATTACCTTGCACTGAGGTGAGCTTCAAAAAAAGTTCTAAAACGTGGATATCCAATAAAAAAAACAATTAGACAGGACTGACAGCATGCAAGGTGCTGAATAATCATGTCAATGCCACTTTAAGGCTAAAGCAGCCGCTTCATACAAATGTAAGAGCTGTGTTCATCCTATCCCTCCTAGGTCCTTGACAACAGGACCTATAAAACAATGAAAGCAGCATCAATCTGTCTTAGAACTCCAGAATACCACTATGGAATATAGACAATAAGCTAATGATAAAGACCAAGATATATATGCAAAAGACCCTCGACTTTCACATAGTAAATAATTGTAAGAAAAAAAATTCAAATTGTGCGAATAAACAGATTGAAGTCTGCACCTCATGAGATCCAAAAGTTTCATCCAGATTAGGAAGCTGAAGAGTAATAAGCCCTCCAGCTTTTCTGCTCTTACCCCTACCACTAGCTTTACGCACCACAGTAACAGCATAACTCGAGCCATTTTCTTTCCCAGGCACTTTATTATATTTTGGTGCATCCCACCCTGATTTTTGACATAGTTGCTGAAGAACAGCCTTAGGAATTTTTCGTGCATCACCCTGCAGGTATTAAAGTTTTAGACCGCAACCAATTCAGAAATGCCATTACACTGTACAAGCAAACAAGTAACTATTGCATGGGGAAAAAGAACATGAATAAACAGCAATCTGCGTTAGGACCAACAATCTGAGAACATGAATCAACTTCAATTGTGAATCATACATCATAATGCTCATTCTCCTCCAGAATAAATTTTAGAACGTCATTTTGCAGATTTTTTCTTTTTCTTTTTCGTTTTTTTTTTATTATTATTATTATTTCCTTGTAAATATCGCCGACGATAAAAATTAGTGAAAGGCACAGAAAATAAATTCTGTTACGTATCATATATCTGTATCTTCAATCTCCTCACTGCAGTAAGTACAACTATATACAAGCTGCTCATGCAGATTTTACCTTCTTCCAAATGCCCTCCAATTTCTCTAAGTTTTTCCCACTAGAGAATTCTCTCATTTTCCCTGCCTTTTGTAATTTCACGACTTCAGAAGGTAAAACTTCAGAAGGTGAGATGTCTTCTGAGAAGAAATTACCAATCTCCACATCTCCTGATTCCTCTTCTAAAGCAATCTTATCCTGATCAGGAACACTAGGGACATTGTTTTCAGTTGAAAACTGCTTTGAGCTGCAGCTATCCATAACATTTCCATCAGTTTCTGATTCAACCGCATGCACTACAGATGCTATAATATGTTCTTCATTGCATACACTATCCATTTCAGCATGCTCGTAATGCATGGAATCATGAGATGTGTCCTCAGAGGCACGACACAAAGGACTTTCAAACCCGGATGCCAAGACATCATCTGATAGTCCTGCACAGTAGATTCAAACAGCCCATGAAGACTGGAATTGACTAACAAAATAATGACATAGTAAGAGATATTACTGAAATATTTAATTTAACCTAGGTCAGACATCTCTTGCTTGAGTTTGCGGATAAGTTGGCTGGCTTGTTCCTGACATTTCTTGTCACCTCTCTCTTTGGCATTTATAGCTTCTAATCGTGCACTTTGATAATCTTTGACAATGGAATCATAGCGAAGCCTTGGTTCTGGGACCTATCAAGAGAAAGAGGAAAAAAAATTAAATTAAAAAAAAATGGACAGCATCACGGGGAACAGAAGACGCTTGAGCATTATTCAATCGCTTCAAATCAGGAAACACAGAAAACCTAGGTAGAAGATCCTATAGAACAAAGAGAGAACTATCATGTATATCGCCAAACTAATCCCTCTAACATATACACAAGACAACAATTATTGAAACAAAATCTTCTGTGGAAGAGAAGAAGCAGGAAGACGAAGCATCAAAAGTTCAAAAAATGAATAAATAACAGAGATAACTCACCATGGACTTTATAACATCATCTAATGATTAAGAAGAGCACGCTTAGCCAAAACATAATCATAATTGTTTCAGTGGTGTGAGGATCATTGTAATAAATGTAACATCACAATGCAATCATTAAATTAGGAAGAAAAAAAATCCTGGCAGGAGATTGAACACTTGCACCAAGTCATTTAACCAGGAAGAACCAAATATACCACCTTCTGTCCTACATTTCTTGAAAATCCAAATGAAAAAAAAAAAATTAAAAAAAATAAATAAATAACCCACAACCAGGAGTCAATCAAAAACGACATTAAGAAAAGGAATATTTGTATCAGATCTACATCCAAAATTCTATGTTGAGTTAATATGCAGAGACAAATGTGCACAAAAAAACACCTAAGACTGACCTTCATAAATAAAAACGTAACTTGAAAGCTGTTTGCATATGGCTAGAACATTCCAACAAGAGGACAGGTGTCACAGGGTGAAGGCTCCCCTAGAATACCACCACCAACTCTTCACCAAGAATGCAATGGGCAATACACCAGAGTTTCTGCCAAGGCGACTCCTACTTATTTTCAATGAACAGGATGTAGAACCAGTTGAACTCATTTAATTCATGAACCACAAAAGCAATGCACAGATCTTTAAGTGCAAAGTTTTTTTCATTTAGGACAGTTGCAATTGTAAAAGCTAGAGCTACCAAGCATGAGGACACACTGGCTCAAGTCCAGACACAGCCATTTTGATGCATAAACAAAATATACTTCAGCTGAACAAAAGATACTTCAGCTGCGACCCAAACCAGAAAGTACTTATGAGAAGATTTTCTGGCTCCTTCATAATGGCAATCATGGAGATATAATTCAAAGGGCAGATATATATATTTGTGCGCGCCTACCAAAATATTCACATGGAGGAAAAAGCAGCTTAATTGCCATTCTTCTTATATCCTATAACTTGATTGCTATTCCAGAGAGGTCCAATCCATATGGGTGGTTAAACTTCAGCCATGATTTCATAGATGTAATTCAATAGATTGTAAAGCAAAAGCTTCTTAAAGCCTTCCCTCCAAAATTTCTGTTTGTGACATGATTATTGAAGCGAACCCAGCCCAACACACCATTCTTTGTAAAAATATGCATCATTTTAGAGTGTTGAATAGAGCTACTGTTTGTAAATAATCAAATCCTAAAGTGGAAGAGTCAAGGATTAAAGGTCAACTGAACCCACCCAGGAATTAGGTTGCTAAATCAGATTGTACCCATTTCACGATCTGAAAGCACATTCTTCTTGAAAACCCAAGTGGTTGGAAAAGATCAGTAAATCAGACCTTATTGTTACTGATAAGAATAGGAAAATACTTGGCAAATGGACTACCTTGATAAATTCTTTTGCTCTTAATTTAAGAACAAGTGGAGGACTTCCTTTCCACATGGCACACTACATTTTTTCTCTTTTTACCCTGAAGAAATTTGTTGAGTTCCGTGGAAATTCGATCAAATTGGACCTCTACTAACAAGATAGTGAAAGTACCTTCTCAATGGAACCTTTGCCAATTACATCATCTTCCCAACTTCCGGATTCATCCTGAAAATGACAAAGAACCATGAGTAATTCCCTTACAATGTTGACTATATTCCATCACAGTTTTCTAAAAATATTTTGAGATAAATGAAATGGAAATATAACTTTGTTTTTTTCTTGCATTGATCCATAAAAGAAGTAACATTATGAAGTACCTTACAATGGGAACAGCAATGAAATTTAAAGTTCGATATCATATCATATGACTATATATGTCTGTATACACTCACACAGATGTCCTAATAATGTTATTTAAAAGGAGCCTCGCAAATTTAACATGAAAGCCTAGGGGGAAAATTAACTAAACACATAAGAACTCATTTCAAAATCACATGGCAATAAGTAACAGAGAGAAATATACAGAAGTTTACCAGTAGGGATAAAAAGGAAAACTATAGATGCTAAGTGTATTAAGGATGAAAATGGATAGTATTGTAAAATATGATGAGATTGGAGTGTTGTTGGTAAAAAGTACTTTTTTTTTTCTTTGTTTTAGTAAGCAAGCAATGCATGCACCCATTTTGCCCCAATTCAGGCTTGAACCCTAAACCTCACCTTAGGGACGCTAAAGGTCACACCACCCAGGCACTTATCAAAAAAAAAAAAAGGTCACACCACCCAGGCAAAGCACCTGATGGAGGAGGGGGGTGGGGAACTGAAAATATAATATTGAAAATTTTTAGTGCTAAATTAGTAGTATTGATACCTTTAAGCAACTGAACTATTAAAATAAAATTTAAAAGTAAATATGCCAGTAAAGAGTTTAATTTAAAATTACTTTCCATTGAGTGCGTTCAATATTCAATGGTACGTCAAATCTCTTTGACTTAATATCCAAGCCCTTTCAAAGAGGAGTTTGTTTACAAGTTGTGGATACTTGTGCAACATTAAAAGCACTTAGCTAAGGAAGCATTTAAACTTTTAAGCGTTCAACACTTAATAGGGTTACAAAAAGCACCTCAAAGGAAAGGTTAAAAGAGTTGAAAGGAAAAAAAGAAAGGTCAAAGAGTTACTTCTATTAATCTGTAATGAAATCCACATTGGAAATTTTAGTGTAGGAACACATATTAACTGTGTTGATAATAAATATTACAAGTGTTCCTACAAAATCAGAAGGAAGATATGAAAATTGCGAAAAAAAAAAAAAAGAAGAAGAAGAGAGAGCCAGTAGGACTTGACAGAATTTCTGTTTAAGACTAGGAAATTGGAAGTGATAAGAGTAAAAATAAGAATCGAGGAATATCCCTTAACAAACGGGAACCAAGTGACGTGAAAAGCGAAACCGATAGATATCGGAGCGTAAAGCACTGACCAAGTTTTTGTCTTTATTGTTCTTTGTCGCTACCTCTCCATTCTGACTGGGGAAAAAGGATTTGCAGTCCCCCAAAGGAAGTAATAAAGCACTTTAATACCTTTATATAAGAATATAAGAACAAAAGCGATATCCAATGCTATTAAGGGTTACAAGAAGTAGATCTATTAAGGTTATTAAAAGCAATGGAGCAATAACTAGGTGAGAATACTAGGACAGACAATTCAATTTAAAAAAAAAAAAAAACAAGATTACATTACGGATCAACAATTCAACAAGTCCATACCATACTCCTTTGCGCTTCTCATATATTAGGAACATTTTAGAGGAAGTCCTATGTTGTAATCTATTTCTTGAAGGCACAACCTTTTTTGATGATTCTAAAGAAGTTAATTGTACGTTAGAACAATAGAGAGGCCCCAGTTTTAAAAAGCCTAGGAAAGAATACCAGCAGGTCCTTTGCCTAGGTGGTATTGACCTCCACTTTGGGGAGGTCGAGGGTTCATGCCCAAAATGGTGCCAAATGTGTGTGTCAGTGCGTTGCTTACTTATCAGGAAAAACGAGAGAGAGAGACTAGGAAAGAATGGACAAAATAAAATAAAATAAAATAAAAGAAGAAGAAGAAGAGGAGGATGACATTGCCCTAAAATGGAAACTTATATGTTCCCCGGCACAAAGGATTAGACTTTAATAAACAACAAATACACAAAAAATGAGAATTATTTTATATTAAAAAAAAAAAAAAGTGTAAAAAAGAATATAACTAGCGGAAAAATATTGAGACAGATTGGTGGCAATACAATAAAATAAAATAAAAACCAATTCAAAAAGTTTGTGAAATCCAGAAGAAATTGTCAATTCAAAAACTATAACACAACATATGTACAACTAAGCATGTTTAGTTTTATTTCATGTTCATTCATGGCTTGATGTATCAAACCCGAACTAGTCACTTGTCCAGTTGAGAATCAGTCATTGAATGTAAACTAATTGAAAGAAAGGAATAAATTTAAAACTCTGCATATCTACACTAAGTACTGTTACACTCTTAAGGTATTCAAAATCAATAAGTTTAGGCGCAGGATAGAAGATGATGGAGTAGAGAAGAAGCAAGCTTCAACACTCCCCAAGACGAAAGAGCTTTCAGTTTTTTGCACCCTATTTTGGTGTTGTAGATTAAAATATGGGATAGTCAATAAAGAGAATCAAAGAGTTGTTTTGTATTATATATTTCAGATAGACGTGAGAAAAAACATATACAGAAGGTAAATTTGCCGAAGCATTCAGTCTGAGCACCTCTTCCTGTTGTTGCACATATTGTCGGATCCAATCTGCTTGAGATGGCTGGCAAGAATCCAGAGCAACATCATCTGAACGTCCCTTCACTCTAACAGAAATTTCAGGTCTTTCTTCCTCAATCTTAGCCGATGAATTCAGTGAAGGACTCCAATCTTCTCGTGCAGTTGATACGATGCCAATGGAACCACCTGGCACATTGCAACAAAGCAAAGATTTAATAATTATACAAAAGACCAGTACCCACACCTTGCACTTGATTGCTATTAACTTGAAAATACCAAGTATAATAACGTTTTAAAACCATTAAAAAGTTATTAATCAATAATACCTCCATTTGTATGGAGAGAAGTCCCACTAGAAAACTTCAATGGAAGCTCATTCCCAGGCAAATTTAAGCATAACCAATCAAGAGCAGCCTCAAAAGTAGCAGCCTCCTACTCAATACAACAAAAAGAAAAAAGTTGAAGTCAACTAGCTACATAGTGTTTTTAATAAACTTCCAACACTATCAGGAAGGCCCTGTATATACATATTTATATATATGGAAACAGAACAACATTAACTGTAAATCAAATAACAAGCATGAAGAAAAAAATTCATACCATGATAACACAAATATAGTATATGGCTGATAACATTGCTAAGTATCATAGAAGAAGAAACATATTTTATAGTAGTCAAACTGTTCATCTAAATCAGTGAAAACAATAAAATGAAATTACAATCACGTAAAACATCATAGAACGAATTTTACAGAGCAATGATGTAGAAAAACAAATACAATACTGATATATCCAGCACAAAATTAGCAAATAATTGCTTACCTAACCACCACCCCCACCCAAGCCCCAGCACATACACACACATAAAAATGAAAAAAAGGCATTGTTTGGTTATCAGACTCTGTAATGAGAAAGAACTTCTTGCTTCCAAAACTTTATTTCTTATAATTCATTTTTAAGAGAGAGAAAAAAAAAAAAAAAAAATTCTGAGTCAAAATTAAATAGACAAAACATTTTCGGCGATCAGTTAATGAGAAAGATCTTTGCTATACCTCTTGCCTCCAGAAGATAAATATTTCTGACTCATTGAAATGCCAACAAATAAAACCTAATTATTTGCAGAATTGTGGTAGAATTAATATATGAGTGTAGTTCTTATTTTGAGTAAAGCTTAGGATTCAAGATTTAATTTTATTGATTCATGAATCAAACGAACACTAAATTCACAGTCAAAAATAAAGTGATTAGTGACCTTGAGAGCAGAAAGAGCGCCCTCAATATGTTCGTCTGAAAAGCCTTCGCAAGAAAGCTTCTCGTAAATGGACCGAAGTTTCTTGGCCTTTTGGGCTTTAGAGAGCGTGTCTTCCACCGGAACTTCATTCGGAGACGGCGAGGCCCTGCCGGAGTTGAGCAAGAGCCGGCGAAGTCGGCTCTCGTTCTCGGCCGAAATCTGGAGTTTTGGACCGCTCGATGAAGATTGAGATTTGCTCTTCGATGAAGAAGACGAGGACGATGATTTCTGCTTCTGTTGCTTCTTCTTCGGAGCCATGTTTAGAGAAAAAGTAAGTGATTATGATTAAAGTGAAAGAGACGGAACGGACATGTATGTCAGCATGTGTGTCTATAAATATGTGTGTGTAAATGTGTGTGTGAGAGAAATCTCTGCGCGTGTGTAGAGGAGAGAGAGAGCCCGGTAAATCTACAGTGAGACAAATAATCAGTGTATTCGGTCCGAGCTAGTTCGACCTATGTGATCCGGTTCGATTTTCGGATATAATAGTTTGGTGATAATTTATAAAAATAGCAATTCGTTATTCACCGTTCGGTTAACGAATTAAACCTGAAAAAATCAATCCGTTACCTTAATTATATATTAATATTATATATATATTTACTGTATTTCCATTTTTTTTCATTATTTAAATTTTTTTTTCTATGCTAATGAGCTATCGTATTATTATTTAAGTGTTTTGTTTTATTCTATTTGGATAATCTATATTTGTTACTGTAATATTCTTTTCACTTTTAGATTGTTTACAATTCTATTTTGTTATTAGATAATTTAAGTTTATAGTGATATTTATATTTATATTTCTATTTATACTATTATTAAATATGCAAAGTGTTTCAGTATTTCTTTATTTATTTATTAATTGATATAAATTCTATAAAATTAAAATTAATTCAAATTAACAAAATATAAAAAATTCAAATTAACAAAATATAAAAAGAATTTAATTCAAATTACAAAGTCACACATTGATTTTAAGTAAAAAGGATTACATGAAATCCTCTTATAAAACTATAGAGTTAAAGAAATAATAATCACACCTTTTCGGCCTTTTAGGTAAGATCAACTGTAGTCTGAAATTTTTTTGGGTCGGCTTTTTGGCTAACCTTTCTTGGTCTTTTGGCTAAAATCAAGTGTACTACTACTTTCTCGGCCTTTGTGCAAAGAGTTTCAATATTTATTTATTAATAATTGATATAAATTATATAAAACTCAAAATTACCTAATAAAATTTAAATTAACAAAATATAATTTAAGTATGAAGGTGCCTATGAACTCAGCCCCCAACTGACCATAATTTTGTCATCAACTCTCATTAAAACAACACATGAAAAAGAGCAAATATACAAATAAGTCCTCATCTTGAGTACTATATATATAAACACAAGCCTAAATATTCATTCCCACAGACATACAATTCAAGAGTTGGATCACTCTCTCGTCAGGGCCTCAATTTGTATCTCTGCTTCTCGTACCTTTTGTGCAAGTGAAACAGGAGGAGGTGGCAATGAGCATGAGAGAGAAGGCAATCTCCCCTTTTACAGGGCCCATAAGTCAACATTGAAACACCTTCGGCTTTCGCGAAGCGATATTCTAGCATTTTCAGTGTCTGTTGGTTCCCCCAAAATGGATCAGAAGACAAATATATATAGTAACAACAAGCTTATCGAAGTGGTGAGAGAAGCTTGAGCTCTTAGTTCTTTTTTTTTTCCATGCATGTTTTCTTGGGTATTAAGGAATCAATATTATTTATATTTGCAGAGTAGTTGAGATGGAGAATCTCAAAAGAGAGAAAAGATGTCAATCGATGAAATTGAAGTATAACCGAAAGAAAGTAGCTTTGGAAGGATGGTGGGAAATTAATCAAACACTTCGCATTTTTCAAACTTCAAACAAGCTTTTTAAACTTTTAAGACTAAAATATAATAAATTATAATAACAGTCTCAGCATTAGGGATGTCAATTTTTACCGCTCCGCCGGGGCCCCGCCCCGTTAATAACAGATATGGGAACACTTGTTATACCGTTGGGGCGGACATGGATACAAATTTTGTACCCGTCGAGGGTCACGGGGCGAGTAAGGGTTCAATATACATATCCTAGGGGCCCCGCCCCGCCCCGCCCCGTATATATATATATATATATATAAGTTATTTTAGCGGCTTACCCAATTACCCATCTCTTACAATCATAATTTGGGATATAAACTTGGTATTAAATTTGCTTTTGTTTTGGTTATGGTGGAAGTTGGAGCTTAGACTTCTTGTGATTTAGTTGTATTAAACTTTTATTTTTGTTTATTATATTCTCTGAATTATGTTATGTGCATGTTATTTTTTTTATTTTTATTAGGATACATAATTTTATTTATGTTGTGTCATTCCTAGGTTTTGCATATTTAAATAGCAGGAGTTTAAGTTCCAAAAAGTGGGAGAAAAAAATTTGTTAGTGGGGCGGGCACGGGGGCACAGTATTTCCTAACGGGGCGGGGTTGGATATGAAAATCCAACCCGTCGCGGGTCTCGGGGCGGGCATGGACTTGACAAAAATTAAAAGGGGCGGGACGGGATTTAGGGAAACCCGCTCCAAACCCGCCCCGTTGCCATCCCTACTCAGCATTGAATGTGCAAAGTGTTTCAATATTTATTTATTAGTTGATATAAATTCTATAAAACTCAAAATTACCTAATAAAATTAAAATTAATTCAAATTAACAAAATATAAAAAGAGCTTTATTCAAATTACAAAGTCCCGCATTGGTTTTAAGTAAAAAGAATTATATGAAAGCCTCTTATAAAACTATAAAGTTAAAGAAATAATAATCACATATTTTCGGCCTTTTAGCTAAGATCAAGTGTAATACTAAATTTTTTTGGATCGACCTTTTTGTTAACTTTTCTTGATCTTTTGGTTAAGATAAAGTATAATACTACTTTTTTCGGTCTTTATGCAAAGAGTTTCAATATTTATTTATTAATTGATATAAATTATATAAAACTCAAAATTACATAGTAAAATTCAAATTAACTCAAATTAACAAAATATAATCATTGTGCCCAATACAAAAGTCATGTTCCACTGAACCTTGTCAATGGATAAGGTCAACACCATAGGTGCGCGTCTTAAAAGACCCCAAGCCTTATCTTCTTAAAACCCACACTTCTCAAAGTTTGCCACCTTCTCACGAATCGTCTCAAGGCGTGAGATTGCAATGAGGGGACCAGTATTAAGAGTTTAATTCACAATAAATAGTTTAATTATTATATCCTACAATCAATAAAAAAATTTAATTAAAATTCAAATTATACTAAAATTCAAAACATATAACAATTCAAATTCAAATTTTATTCAAAACCTAATAATTAAAATTAAAATTATACAATACAAATACTACTAAACCTAACACGATTGCAGCACGCAAAATATAATAAATTATAATAATGGTCCCAACAGAAAGGAATTCAAAACCTAACACGATTACAGCAAGAATGGATTCATGGCGAGGGGGAAAAAGAGTCAATTTTGGATATTAATTAAATCTATATTCTCTCTGTATATATATATATGCCTTTTTTTGCCTTCATCTAATCACATCAATTTTCAAGGTACGTGCATTGTTTTATTTTTTGCTCATGCATTGTTTTATTATTAATCTTACGTTTTGATCATGCATTGTTTTATTATATATATTGTTATATGTAATGTATACAAAAATAAAAATAAAAATAAAAACCTAATCAACTGACTTTCTCTTCTTCTTATTATTAATCTTATGTTTTGATCATGCATTGTTTTATTACATATATTGCTACATTTAATACATTTAATGTACACAAAAATAAAATAAATAAAATAAAACATAATCAATTGTCTTTCTCTTCTTCTTATTAGTCCAAGTTTTGCCAAGATCAAAGCCTTTTTGTGCAAGTTATGTGTCACCCCCACTCCATATTGGTAGAGTAACTCATTAATTTTGTAATTATAATTTTTTTTTTTAATTAAATTTGAATATTGTTGTTGTTCTCTCAATATAATAAATTTAATTATGAGGAGGACTTAATAAGACTTTCGCGACCAAGAAGAAACTGGAACTATGGATGAACAAACAGAATAATGCGGGAAAGTCAGCTAGAATAGAAGAACAAGAAAAGTTTTCTCAGATTGAAGAATTGGGTCTAATTTCCAAATAGACTGTTTTTATATTTTATATTTTGTGTTTAGTCTTTTCAGTTTTTTTTTGCGCGACATATACTATACATTCTATATATAGTCTATATTCTATATAGACATTAGTTACATTATTACTTTACTTATGTATTATATATACATATTGCTTATATATTATTAGATTATGAGTTTAATCTAATCTAATTAATTAATCAGAATTAAGTAATGATTAATCATGCATTGTTTTATTATTTGCTCATGCATTGTTTTATTATTTGCTCATGCATTATTTTATTTCTCTTCTTCTTATTATTATTAATCTTATGCTTTGATCATGCATTGTTTTATTATATATATTGCTACATTTAATATATACAAAAATAAAATAAAAAAACTTAATCAATTGTCTTTCTCTTCTTCTTATTGTTATTAATATTATGTTTTGATTATGCATTGTTTTATTATATATATTGCTACATTTAATATATAAAAAAATAAAAATACCTAATCAATTGTTTTTCTCTTCTTCTTATTAGTCTAAGTTTTCCCAAGATCGAAGCTTTTTTTTGCAAGGTACATGTCACCCCCACCCCCTATTGGTAGAGTAATTCATTAATTTTTTAATATATATATATATATATATATATATATATATATATATTTGGGAATTTTTTTTGATTAAATTTGAATATTGTTATTGTTCTCTCAATATAATAAATTTAATTATGAGGACTATTTTTATATTTGATGTCTTGCTAGAATCGTGAATTTTAATTATTAAGACTGTTTTTATATTTTGTGTCTTGCTGATAAAATCAAAGCATAATCAATATAAAAATATATAATAAATAATAAATCGGCTATGTTTTAATCTTATTTTTCTCACTTCTCCTTCTCTTTTTTTAACAGAAATATTCTTGATTTTAATAATTGAATATATATATATATAGTAAAATTTTCACCTAAGATAATTACGTTTTAAATATTTTAATAAAAATATAATTAAAAAAAATATTTTGTGATGATTTATTATGAACATTGTTTCTGTCACCTTTTTATTTTAAATTCTACAAAAATGTTAGCAGGGTGGTTGCAAAACCAATCTCGACAAATGGGCCCACAAGTTTTCTCAGATTGAAGAATTTGGTCTAATTTCCAAATGGACTGTTTTTATATTTTATATTTTGTGTTTAGT